TTTACAAGTCATTTTTAGGAGGGGGGGGGATCCTTTTTCCAACTTATGTTTTTTTTTTTCTGACATCTTGGTGTTATATCTTTCACTTGGATGTTATAAGTTGCACTAAATACAGCTGGATAAAACAAAAAAAGTGTTTGTCTTCATTTCAGGCTGCAAAGCAACAAAATGTGGTTATTTTAAAGGGGGATGATTCTTTTCTATACCCACTAGATGTCCTGAATAGACATGCCTTAACCCAGGCCCATGAAGAAGACAGACTCCCGATGAATTGGGCATGTACTCCCATTGGGCAGCTGAGTTCTCGGGAAGCATAAGCTAGGCGAACAGCTTCTCGAATTCAGTGTGACAGTCTCTGCTTCGGTAGTGGGCTGCTATTCTTAGCGCCCATGAAGCAGATAAAAAACTGCTCCGAAGTTCGAAATAGTTTACTGTACATAAGCATGCAGCACACGCACAGGGCCTGCCTCTGTGACACTGAATCAGAGCACTTTCAAGTCGGCTCAAAGGTGCATGGGCTAGACAGCGCACTGAGCACTAACGATAAGTCCCATATATACTGGCAACAGGCGAGAGCGGGGTGGATTCAGCCGTCTCGTGCCCTGAAGAAAGCTTGTTATTACGGGGTATTTACCCACTGAGTGACCCTCAAACATGTCATGAGAGGCAGCGATAGTGGCTACATAGACTTTTAGTGTTGAGAGAGAGCTGCCCGCATCCAGGTGTTCCTGCAGGAAGCTCAAAATAGCGGGGATATCGCAACTCGCCAGGTCCTCGTGTCTGCTGACACACCAGTTCACAAACACTTTCCACTTCAAAGTGTATAGGCGCCTCGTCAAAGGGGCTCTAGCCTCCGTTATTGTGTGCAGCACTCGCTGTGAAACGGTCAGCAGGTTCACTCTGCACTGACTTGCCATAAATACAGGTCCCACAGCTCCGGCTTGGGGAGTCAGATGGTGCGGCACTATTTTGACAAGAGGGAATGCATATTTCTGCCCCTTTGGTCAGTGGTCCGACAGCGCATCCCCTTCCAAGGGGGCAGTTGTTAGTGAGAAGAATAATGGGCAGTGGGCATTCTCCTCTGAAGCAAAGAGGTCGATTTCTGCTTCGCCAAAGAGGCTCCAGCTCATCTTCACTGTTTGAGGATGTAGTCTCCACTCTTTGTGTATAATGCCCTCCCTGGACGGCATGTCCATGCCGCAATTCAAACTTCTCGGTACATGCACTGTTCGAATCGAGAGGAGCATTTGATCTGCCCAAAAGAGCAGGCGCCGTGCCAAGCTTTGCAGGGCACGCAAGCGCACTCCTCCCTGGCGATTGATGTATGCCACCACTGCTGTATTGTCCGTTCGGATCAGAACGTTACCGTCACGAACGGTAGAAATTCCTGCAGTGCTAAGCGAACAGTTTCAATTTCCAGGCAGTTTATATGCCGGCATTTCTTGTCGCTGCAGTGTCCTGAACTCTGCACATGGCTAACCACTGCTTTGAGGCAAGGGGCTGCTGCTGTTGTGTGAATAAGTAAGCGATTGGGACTTCTGTGTTCTGTACACCGTCGGCCACTGCTCAAAGGCAAGGGGCTACTGATATCCTGCGAATTAGCGAGTGATTGGAACTCCTCCGTGCTCTGCACACAGCTGGCCGCTGCTTTGAGGAACTGGGCCCACACGGCTTGCTACCAAAGTCCTTAGGGCCTTGCTTACTGGAGGGTAGCACTGCCTGTGTGTGGGGGCCGCCCAGGCAGAAAGCCAGTGAATATTCATTCTGAAGGAGACATTGGAGGTTTAGGTGAACAAGGGGGATGCAGGAATTGACACGTCGCAAGCCCATCACCTACATTTCTGTCCCAAGCTGCCGTGCCTTCCGTCTCCACGGCTTAGCAGCAAAGGTAAAGAAGTGAACGGACAGCTTATCCGTACAATATGAAGATGTTATACTCACCGGAACTCTGCAGGGGATGGGAATCCGGGCATCTTCCACTAAAGAGTGTACCTTCGACATTGAATGATAAGAGGCTTCTTGAATACAGCATCTCTAAGTGAAGGAGAAATATTCTGAGGTAAACTGGCACCCGACATCACCTATATAGCGGCTGAGGCCAAAATCAGGTTAATGCTTGAACACTATTGGCTATTGCAGAGCAACAGAGTGATTCAATCAGGTTTCAGCATCTAGGAGGAAAAGGGTTTCCCCCCCATACATAATGTTGAGAGATCAACTCGATAAGGGAACCACTGATATAGTGGCACTTGATAATTTACTGTTGATATATGCATGCATTTTAAGTGAGACTTAAGTATCCATTCTACATTTTGGGCCACATAGCAGGTTCATCTGATCGGCAATTCAGTAATAAAATAAACACGTGGATGAAAAATGGTAGAGGAACGTTTACAAATCTCACGCCGCACGTGACAGGGGCGTAACCTTTGTGGAGCTCGACCGCCCACCCCCGTTCTTTCCTTCCCTCCCCTCCCCATTCATTTCTCATTCAATACTTCCTGTGAAAAGTAAACAAATGGCGCTCCGCACTCTAAACTGTAAAATGATTCAAAATGTAAGCCGAATACGCTTATTTAAGAGTTCAAAATGCCCGGACAGAAGAGAAAATATAATGTTCGCTTTCCACCCGTGAGTATTTCTTAATTTTCGTAGTTTCGTAGAGCATTGTGTGAAGCATCCGACTCTGCTGCTCAAATGAGCGACACTGAACCTCTCAACTCATCCTCCTGTTCGCCTCATGGCCAGGGACGCATCAAGAAAATAATGCAGAAGGATACAGAGGTTGGACGAATCGCTACAGCTGTACCAGTCATCATATGTATCCTTTCAAAACTCTCAGTGTTGAATGCTGGTGGAGAGTCATATGTAGTCAAGAGTCATTTACGAGTTGATTCTCATGAAGCGTGTAAACAAGTCTCTCAGGGTTTCATTAAAAACGTTTAGCCTGTTTTAACACCACCAAGATCATCAAGATATATATATTTTAGCATTATAACATTATATTTATTATACTTAAATAGAAGAGAGAAGTCGATTCCAAAAGAGTCGTTTCCTCGATTCTGACTCTTCGATTCTTTTGTTCTAACGACTCCTTAGTTCATATCTATAGAGCGTTGTGATTGGCTCAAATTAGTGAAATAGCATTCTAAGAACCAATCACATTGCTTAGTTTAACCTTAGTTCAACCTTTTCAGTCCTATCTATCTATCTATCTTATTGGTCATTATTCATTATGTAGTCCTTCATACTGCTGTTATGTTCCTTAACTGCAGATTTAGCTAAAGCTTTAGAAATGTTTCTCAGATCCCTTCTCACCATGACCTGTAAAATAACCCAATCCAGGAACAGCAGAGTGATGTCCATCAATCACATGTGAGCTTCAAAACCTCTTGTCTTAAAGGGGTCATATGATGCGATTTCAATTTTTCCTTTCTCTTTGGAGTGTTACAAGCTCTTGGTGCATAAAGAAGATCTGTAAAGTTGCAAAGACTAAAGTCTCAAATCCAAAGAGATATTCTTTATAAAAGTTAAGAGTCAGCCACGCCTACCTAACCGGATCGGCTTTCACCGTGGACGAAGCGGAGTCCAGCCCGGGGTCGTCACATGTGGTTACATTTCATTACACCAAATACACCAAATAATGTTCTTTTTAGCAACATCATATGACCCCTTTAAATAATTATTCCTATGCATTGTCCACCGTTTTGTGAGTTTGTGTCATGTCCATCTGTTTCTGTGTTCTTTTTATGATCTTTGTAGGAAACAGTGCATTAATTCAGAGAAGTTGTTTGACTTCCTGAATGATTTGGCAGATCAGGCCTCCACTGCATCAACATCAGAGTGCAAAACTAAGGGCAAATGGCAGTCACACAGGTACAATATAATTTATCAAAAAGCACAGGTGCCCGACTGCCCGGCAAATAGTGTTTTATTGTTTTTCCATACAAGGAACGATTTTAATGAAATGATCTTCCTTTAGGAAACGGTGGCAAAGTGTGTCTATCAAAGCCAGGTCACCGGAGAGGGAGGAGCCGCCTCAGAAAGCCACCAATGATCTGGTCGTCAACAGCGAGTCATCCAGTGTAAGTTATTGAAGATTTTACTGACACAGAGTTAGTTGGATTTTTAATCTTGACAATGTTCTTGATGTTTCTTTTTCAGGAGTCTGAGCTGTTCATCTGCTTGGAAACTCATTCACCTTGACCGGGCATTTGAAAAGGTGAGATCTGTGCTTGACGTATCAACTACATCAATCCAGTATTCTACGAATTTAAATTGTTTTCTTTCATTCTTATTTAAGTTTGACAAGATCGAACAATCTCTTGCTGGAAACTGCAGTATTATTTATGAAGACCCAACATCTTTCGGGAGGGGGGTGTTATTGTTATTCTTAGCATCTGATATAAATATTTCATTTTTAATTTGTGAAATTGCTCTGTTGTGGTATTATATTGACCATGAAATTAATTATATAATTTTTGTTTTCAAGTTTTCCAGGGAGTTTTAAATTCCGATAAGGAAGAAAATAATTTGTTTATTATATAATAGAGATTTTGTGATTTTGAGCAGCTCCACTAATTTTCTTTCAGTTGGATGCATAATTAAAACTGTAGTTTGGACTGTGTAACGTTTATAATCTAACATGATTTTCTAAGCTGTGACTTATGCGATTATATATTTATAGTTAAATGTAAATAGTTCTATTTTCTTTTTTCTTTCATCTTTAAATGCAGGTCACTAGTTTTGTTACCATTATCCACAGTAGGTTACAGGGTTCTTTAAGCGGCATATTGTATGACAAGGTCAATTGTATTTTATAGTAAATATTCTATAAGGTATATTTTAAGATGTCAGTATTACACAATATTGTATAAATATGCATTTTCTACTCCTAACCTAACTACTGTGATATGACAAGATGTAGTAAAAATGTTTAAAATAACCAAGCATCTATTATAGGCTCATGCAAAATAATGGCTGAATAAAATATCTGAGGATGATGTTTCAAAGGTATTTTTATTTTAAGTAATTGATGCTCTTTGTCTGGTGACAAAGTGTGATGCAGAAATTATACAAGAAAATAAATAAAACTCAACGCTTTTTCGGGATTGTAATTTGGGACAATACAAACAAAACTGAGTGACTTAAAATTGGTCTGAGGTTCCCTTTTCAAGCATTTCAAACATAGCAGCTAAACCCAGGCAAATCCTATAAAGGCTGAAATACAGTACTTGCAGTAATACAAAGCAGTGATCTAAAAATGACCAGTTGTGCATGCCACATGATTTTCTTTTTAATAGTCTGTTTGAGACGAAAGAAACAGGCTTTCTGCAGCTTGTATTTGCTTTGGTGAATGTAAATGGCTATGAGTTAAAACCTCATATGTTCATAATACTATTAGATGTGATGACAAAAATTTACATGAATGACTATTTCCATCAGAAAGAAACATTAATTAAGTGGTCCGAAATATCTCTTTATTGTTCTTTCTCCAAACCATTTTCAAGAAGATCCAATGTTTCATAAAGCCTCTTAACTTATCAAAAACCAGCCAGTGCATACCCTGTGACCCTTTCACAGAACAGGACAGGAGTGCCGTCAGAGAGTTACCATGTTGAAATAAGTACACTATATTACATACATAAACAGATATTTCATATGACCCAAGTGTCCTCTTTAGCACTCATCTTTTCATCTTACATTTCTGACTTTTCAATCTTTTTTATTTACTATAAACATCAAAATCATCCAAATAACGGAACGTGATAATGGAGCGATGGGATGCCAGCTGTTCAGTAGAGTCACATTCAGATCCCCTCTTTTATAGGTGGAGTGAAATGAACAAAAATAAAACCAATAAAACAAAAGAGCCATAAACGGAGGCGGCTACATCCTGGGCTCAGCAGAGTCGTGCGCCGTAGCCAAATGTCTGTTTAATGGCGTGGCAGTAGTACCTCTGCCAGCCATCTCGTGTTCGTTCCTCTTCATTCTCAGGAACTGCCCGACACTCAATCTTCAAATCGGTCTCATTACCCTTGTCTGTGAAAGTCAATGTCACCGTCGCATAGTGCTCTGAAATAAAAAGGAAGGACAGACAGTGACGGTAAACAATGCGCAGAGACATTCGGCTAGATGTTTCTCAAAGTCAGCTGTCACACAGTAAAAGTGAGCTGGTAAATCTAATATTTATAATGGGACATGCATTAAGGATTCTTTGATGAATAGAAAGGTCAAAAGAACAGCAATTATTTGAAAGACAAATTTTATAGCATTATTAATGTCTTAACTGACAATTTAATGCATCCTTGCTAAATAAAAATATATATATATATTTAAAAAAAACCTGATCCCAATTTTTTAAATGGTAGTGTATGTGACATTCTTGCAAAACTTCCAGTTTTCTCTTACCACAAGGCCATGAGTTGAACCTCCATTTCATGACTATCTTCTGCTCAGGAACCTGTCAAACCCACACGGTTTCAGAAATCAAATCAGAATTCAATCATCACTGAATGTATTTTTAGTAGGGTTCCTCGAGCTGAAGGGATCCCCCGAATTTGGTGCGGATTCGCACTAATGAGAAGTTCCGTTACGGAGATATGGCCGTTCAAAGTTTCAATGGTTTTCCATAAACTTAAGCTTTAAAGAGTTTCATCCAGGTCGCCAGTAGCAAACAATGGAGCGCGCTCTGCTGGACAAACTAAGTAATTACACTATTTCAAGCATTTTATCTGCATTATATGTTCTGTAAAAAAAAAATGTATATCGGCGGCATATTCGCCGATACCGATATATCGGCGACAGGCTCATATCGTCCGATTATATCGGCAAAACGATATATCGGTCGGGCTCTAATTTTTAGCTGAGCTGTTTATTTAAAGGACAGTTTCTCCTGTCATCATGCATTACGTGATTTGAAACCGAAATCTCACCAGCTCCTGGAACACTCCGTTCACGTTTCCGTCCAACAGGCGAAACTTTCCACCCTTTTCAGCCTCGACCACAGCACTGCTGCGTGTAAAAGCCTGCACCATCTGTAACACACAATTTGTCATCCCATGTCAAACAAATGTAATCACTAATGAGAAATGATCTGCTCATTAAATAATAAGAGCCCAGGGAGTCTCACTATAGTTAATAGCTAATGGGCTGTCAGCTGTGGTGGCGGCAGAAGACTCACCTCCTGATTGAGAAAGACCCTGTAAAGGTCTTCTGGTGAGGTGAGGAAGGTGTCTTTTATGGAGAACTTGCAGGTGGGGATTTTTACCCCTGTGTTGGGAGGAGGAGGAGCAGCGCTACATGAGCCAATCTGAAAAAACACAAACAAATTATAAGTTTAAACTGAAGCTGCCCTGCAGGACTTTGGCCTCACTATTGCCATCTGTGGTTGAAAATAAAACTACACGTTACTTGCAGAGTAGCTAGTATGTCAGTTGCTGTTAAGGGTGTGTGATAATGACAACAAATAATATCTCAATATTTTCTGGAATTTTGTCGATAACGATAACTAGACGATATTTTGCGGAGCGTGTACTTGTGCTGGTGCTTTGACAGGTTTAGGACTGCTGTGGACAGCTGACTCCCAAAGCTGAGCGGTGGTTAGTTTGCAGGAGTAACAGAAATGAACTTTTCCAATAAGTTTAAATAGATTTTTACCTTTTATGGGCATTTTTACCTTTATAAGGCCATTTTTCTAACCTAATTAAATGTATGCATAATTTTTTGTGTCAAATTCCTAAATTTAATCAATAAATTCAAATAGTAAGACACTATAGGGCTACCAATCAAATGAAATCAGTATCAACAAAATCTGTGTTTGCAATGCAGAGGTGGCACAGAATCTGCATCTGAAGTGGCATTTAGATCGTAATGTTTAGATGTTTTAAAAACAAAAGTTCAATAGTACAGAGCCCCTAAAGGGACATGGTGGTGGTTTCGTTCTCTCGAAAAACCAGTTGAGTTCGGACAAACACTTCCTGTTTACTTTACAGCTTGCAGTGGTGCATACAGCTCCGTACGTTCACAATAGAGCGGTTCATAGAGTATTATTTTGAACTTGGAGTCAAGTATAAAGAAATACAGTCAGTGCTTAGTTCAAAGCATGGTTTTGGGACATTTTAAAACACTTAATGTTGCTAAATGTACTAAAACAGTGACATTGGAACACCAAATTCAGTACACCTTATTAATAAAGCATGGCCTACTATTTGCAGACAATCAGAATAGCCCAGAATATGAATGTAAATTGCACATTAAAGGGGACCTATTATGCAAAATTTATGTTTGGACATAAATGTGTCTTGGCAGTGTGTGTACACAACCACCCTATAATGATAAAAATCCACCCACTCCTTTTTTTTAAATCCCCATAAATCATAAGCAGTGTCTCCCAACTACCTGTTTTCCGACTTGGTGCTAATGTGACGTCACATTAGCCACAGGCCCCGCCCACGAATGTTGACAGACACTGCCGTTTTAACATAGAACCGCCCTGAGCGAGTTCACAGCGAGTTGTACACAGTCCGCCATTGCTGCACTGAGAAGAATGTCTCCCAGGCGTTTTAGATGTTCTGTAGCTGGATGTATGAATCCACATAGCTCTCTCCTTACTCTCGAAATCTGAGCCGCTGAAGACGAGGTGGATTAATTTTGTTTTCGAAGAAAATGCTCCCTCAACACTACCGAAATTCGTTTATGTCTACACGAATCATTTTACAGCGGACTGCTTTGTGAATGAGGGTCAGTATAAAGCAGGTTTTGCACAAAAGTTGCTCCTGAAGGATGG